AATGCGTCTAGACGGTCAAAACGGGGACGGAAGTTATTTATGGTGGACATAATTCCTTTGATTTGATTGGCTTCGATTATATGCGGGCATATAATCCTCGCTTCCCATTGGTCGATTTATGGTGACCATAAATATGTAGTCATGTATTCTTGATTTTTGTCCACCGTGGCCAACCATGGTTGGCCACGGTGGACAAAAATGCGTCTAGACGGTCAAAACGGGGACGGAAGTTATTTATGGTGGACATAATTCCTTTGATTTGATTGGCTTCGATTATATCCGGGCATATAATCCTCGCTTCCCATTGGTCGATTTATGGTGACCATAAATATGATTTATGGTGACCATAAATATGATTTATGGTGACCATAAATATGTAGTAATGTATTCTTGATTTTTGGCCACCGTGGCCAACCATACGCGTACGGTTGCCGCTCAACCGGTTGCCGTTTTGCCTATTGCCAGCGGCAACCGTCCGCGGGCTATAGTTACTCGAGCTAGCTACTACTTCTGCCTGGTTGTCGGAATAGGGATTAAATCAATGATCAGCCGCTGCGTGGATTGCGAGCGCCACCTACCAGATAAGTTATCTCCGACAGCCATCCACACGAGGGCGAACTCCTGGCAGTGGCCGCACCATGATAGGTAGAACTCCACCACCCAGACTGCCTCGCTGCCGTACACGGACTCGGCGAAGTTCTCGGCACCGATATCAACGATGGCATCACCCTCGCTGTATAGCGACGTAGCAACGTGACGCACGTGCCGCCGGAATCTGCCACTAGGCGGCGCCTCTTCCGTTACAAAGCATCGGCCGTGCTCGGCTCGGCAGATGCCATATAGAGCGTTGAAGAGAAGAATGACGGCAACGTAGCGGTTAGTAAGCTTGACCATTCTCGGTTGTGTACGCGGGCGCACTGTATCAAAAGTACATTATAGGTACACAAACTATCGCGGGATCGGCCCGTGTGTTATGTCCTAACAGGCTTCGCTTTAATGCAGTCTTCACAAACTCCCGTAATTGCGTACCGTGAATTATCGAAGAGTAATTTTCCGTGTATATCCGAAGAAATGATAGATTTGTCGGTCAGTAATGTAGACACATGCACACACACTCACTCTGCTCGCATACGCATTCGGCAGAGAGCTGATGTCGATTGCGTGTCGCCGGCCCGGCCCTTATATATATATAGGCGCGCTCTATCTTATCACCGACCTTGAGCTAGTCTGTGGCTCTAACAGATTATTTGCTTACATCCACAGGAAGTGATCTCGAATTTTCACGGGATGGATAAAAACTCCGTTTGCGTGAACTATGAGCGTGGGCATGCACACTTACATGACATCACACTCGTAATAAAACAGAAAGACAGCAACTGCAGTGTCATCCACTGACATCAGTAATGAGCCCGCTGCCCATATATACTCTAAAAACCACACTGCTATCCACGAAAGTAGCTACTAATTGGCGGATGTGTTCCTTTGCATATTCAAGAATGTCTGTTATCATAAAAATTATAGAACATACCGTGGTCCCCGCGTTATTGGGGCGCGAATAAACGAGCACATCGCGTAAACGAAGTGTCTTTAATCACGTTATGTGTACACCGCGCATTCGGTAAATTTCCGTTGTCCCTGACCTGTCGCGATAAAGCGGCAACCACTGTATAATGTAAGAATCATTAATTCATAATGGTGTCTATTGACAAGCATTTGTTTGTGTATTATTTATTGTTGTATTACAAATTTCACTGCAATAACAAGAGAGTACACTAGATACCACTGATACATTCCAGATGCCGGGTGGTGGTGGTGATGATGGTGATGGTGGTGGTGATGATGGTGGTGATGATGATGGTGGTGGTGGTGATGATGAGGATGGTGGTGGTGTTGGTGATGGCGGTGGTGATGATGGGGATGGCGGTGGTGGCGATGGTGGTGATGATGATGATGGTGGTGTTGGTGTTGGCGGTGGTGATGGTGTTGGCGGTAGTGATGGTGTTGGAGGTGGTGATGGCGGTGTTGGTGGTGACGATGGTGTTGGCGGTGGTGTTGGTGTTGGTGGTGGTGATGGCGTTGGCAGTGGCATTGGTGGTGGTCGTGATGGGGTTGGTGATGGTGTTGGTGTTGGTGGTGATGGTAGTGTTGGTGGTGTTGGTGGTGATGGTGATGGTGTTGGTGGTGTTGGTGGTGATGGTGTTGTTGGTGATGGTGTTGTTGGTGATGGTGTTGGTGGTGTTGGTGATTATGACGATGACAGGGGTGGTGGTGATGGTGTTGGTGATTATGACGATGACGGGGGTGGTGGTGATGGTGCTAGTGGTGATCTTGGTCGTGATGGTGCTGCTGGTGTTGGTGATTATGACGATGACGGGGGTGGTGGTGATGGTGCTAGTGGTGATCTTGGTCGTGATGGTGCTGCTGGTGTTGGTGATTATGACGATGACGGGGGTGGTGGTGATGGTGCTAGTGGTGATCTTGGTGGTGGTGGTGGTTGTGGTGCTGGTGGTGGTGGTGCTGGTGGCGATGTTAGTGGTGCTGTGGTATGTGCGTTTATTTAGGGGAGGTATGGCAGGATGGGGGTTCACCTCCTCATTCAACTGGTAAATCTGATCAGTTAAACGGTGTTGGTTCCCTATATTTGGGATGTCTACGTTTTACGCTTGCATTTAGGCTAGGTGTAATTTCAGAAACATGACAGGAAGAACGATTAGATTTTCTTAGCCTTCTGTATTTTTATCAGTAGATCCTGTCCAGCTGTTGACCCTTTGCACATACTATTAGTTATCAGTGCAATCATTCAGAAACAATTTCAAAGCATTGAAAACCCATAACCATTTATTAACGAGCCACATAAATGCATATATACGAAATTTATAGTTTTAATTGAACAGATTTCATCTATTATGCTAATTTATGTCATACACGTATTTCTTTACGCTACGTTCATTATAATCATACGGTAAATCTCAACATAAACGAAGATAGCATAGTATTCCGGCATATTAAATAAATAATATAACACCGTATCACATATTCTGCTGTATAAACACAATAAGTTAATTTAAACTCCACAAATAATACATGCATTGCCACAACAACTGCCAGTTTATCGTGATATCATTGAGGAATGATTTGTAAATCCATGGAAATGGCTTCAAGACTAGTAGGTTAGGACTCAATATACATAGGTTTATGATGCTAGCAATCAATACAGCCAAACTAATAGTGTTTGTGCTAATCAACCGAATAAACCACTTTGGCATTGCTGGAAATCTCTATTCACAGCATTTAATCACATTCATATGTTGCCCAGAGTTCAACTTAAACGACTATTGGCCATAAGTAGGAATTCATTTACATATCAGATATGTAGTGCAGATTTCCTGGTGTACGCCGTTTTTCATGTCCACCAATTCACTAATCTGCCTGAAGCTATTATTAGTAAATCTAGCCAATCAACATTTCAATGGGAGCATTCTAAAAACTTTGTTTAGTAAGTGCTGCAAAGTCGACAATTTTGCGTGAGACAATGACAAACGTATAAACTGGCATAACCTGACTGACCTAGCCACATCATCCAATGCAGGTGGTCAATTAACTGTAGGCACTTTTTCTTCAGAGTTCCTTGATGTATTCACTCTATCGAGCCACCCCTTCCATCACGGGCCATGCGTATTCGATCTCCATCTCAACTATATTGCTGGCACGACCTTGAACGCCGACTCGAGCTTGCGCTTGTTGTCGATGTCTTCGTCGTGCAGCGCCGCCTTCAGCCAGTCGATGGCGGCTCCGTCGCCGTCCTGCCTCACCTCCTCGTCACCGCTCTCATATCCTAGCAACAGCGCTGCATAGTCTGGCTTTCTACGCGTAGGAAGGTACCTGCAAGGAGGGAGAAGTGAGGTAACTGTATGCTGTTAGCACAGGAAGTTGCTAACATTTATGTTCCAGAAATACAAGCAACTTGTGAACATTAGGATTCTAAACGAACAATGCTGCATTAATTTTTACGAACTGCGTGACCTGCACTTATACACCAAACCATGCATCACAAACTAGATGAGTTTCTGGACAAATGTCTGACAAAAAAAGTTTGTTGCAAACTATATGCCTGTAACCTGAAGACTTCCTGTAATGCATATGGGCCCAATTAACAATCACCATTAATCATCAGTCATCACCCCCTTCACCATTTGATTGCTACTTTTTACACGTTCCCTGTCAATATATGTTCGATGAATGCTCTACTCTGTAATTTTATGTTTAAAATAAGTTCTATAGTTCGTGCCCTTAATGCATCCATTTTCATATTCTTACAAGAGTATGTATGATGTAATGAACTCATGTGTATGTGTGATGTATGTAAATACATGTGCATCACGGCCTCACCTATCCAATATCAACAGTATAGCTGCAGCTGTGAAAGCCACAGCGGACATGGCTCCACAAAGGGTGCTCCACCCTAAGTAGTCGTACATCAATCCAGCGACCCCGCTGCCGATAGCACCTCCCACGCCCCAGTAAACAGCCTGGTATACCAGCAACACCTGCAGCCAAACAATATAATATGCAATCCATTACTCACTGCTCACGCACATCATCACTGGTCATTTTAACCTCACTCTGATGTAAGATTATTTTGCAAAGCCTATTATTTTTTACATGAGACTAGTAATACGGCAGCCGCAGCCACTGCTACTTCTACTGCTACTTCTACTGCTACTACTACTGCTACTTCTACAGATTGGACCTTGCTAATCCAGCATCCGCTGGCCTGACAGCTTCATTGGTTCGGGACAATGATATGAATGTGGTCTTCGTTAGTTTGCATCACTGCCGCTTGGCCACCGGTGGCGCTACCGCCGTCAGACGTAATCAACTATATTGTTTACATCTGTCATAGCCACTGATCTCTATATATACTGACAGGATGTCTTAGCGGCCACCGGATGTCACCGTAACGCCAAGATACCACTCCCAGAAGTAGTATAATGTAGTAGAATGAGCCAAGACGGGAGGGAGGGCAGGAGGGGGGATAGAGAAAGAGAGAGAGAGAAAGAGCGAGAACGAGAGAGAATGAGAGAAAGAGAGAGAGAGAAAGAGAGAGAAGATAAAGAAGAGAGAGAGAGAGAGAGAGAGAAGAGAGAGAGAGAGAGAGAGAAAGATGAGAGAGGACGAGAGAGAGAGAAGAGAGCGAAGAGAGTAGGAGAGAGAGAAGAGAGAGAGAGAGAGAGAGAGAGAGCGAAGAGAGAGAGAGAAGAAGAGAGAGAGAGAGAGAGAAAATAGTAGAATAGGCACATATTAGTGTAAGTACAGTACTGTATACCACGGCATATGCATGTGGTATACACAACCCGCCAAATGTGAGTGTGAAGGCATAAGTGCAAGACGACATACATTTGGCTAGGGAACATTTGGTCTAGCTAAAAAATTTCCACACAATTAGCCAAACAAGTGCCGCAGAGCGACAGCGCTCAACTGACGTGTACTGTAGCCCGGGTATTCTTCTGATAAACTCACTGGCAAACCGAATCAAGTCGCCCTCCGCCACGCGTTCGCGCTCAGCAGCATATATCTAGGATACTACTAATACAGATCTAAAATCTATGATAGCCTTTGCTATACCGTAGTACAGTAATAAAGATACACTTGTGTAACTTTAATGACTTTACTATATTAACATGTTATCATGGATATGCGCTCCGAGCGCGAGCTAGTGGTGGTGGAGAGGCGGTGAGGGGAGGGGGAGGTGGGGAGGGTGGAGGGGCTCTAATAGCAAAAGCCAGTTCAGCCTTTTGTTAACAGTCACAAATCCGTGTACCCCTCCTCTCTGAGGGGTCAAAAAGTTATCAGAACTTACTCTTCGCACGTCAGCCGAAAGCACATTTCATGGTCCTTTCAATAAAGTGATAAAAAATGGTAGGTCAGCGCTGAAACAAAAAAGTTTTGCACTGTCCTCAGAAATGTCTGATAACCCCACTGCCCTTTGACCTGTGACCTACAATTTCGCGCTGGTGATGGGTTTCCTCCACATCACACTATACATAGAATATTAAGAGCGTAGGTCAAGCCGTTGAGATTTGTGCCGCAATTCCGTATTTCCTCCTATACCTTAAAGCAGGGGTGGCAAACTGCGGCCCGCGGGCCGCATGCGGCCCTCTACGGGGTTCTGTGCGGCCGCGGAAGGCCTGCAGCAAATAAAAAAATAAAAAATAAAAAATAAAAATAACATAAAATATTTTATTTTTTTAATCAATAAAATTTTTGTGAAAGTCAACATGTTTGTGTTTGAACGAGGCTGACTTTTTTCAGTGTCATACAGATTAGTGTTCTATTGTCTCTGGTTCGCTCTGCAACGCCATTTCAGCTCATTATGGTCCAGAATGTTGCCCTTGAGGCGAAACGCACGTATTATCTTAGAGCGCACCCCCCCCCCGCATTTTTAAAAGGTGCGGCCCCTTGACTTTTCATGGCCCACTGATGCGGCCCTCGCTTTGAAAAGTTTGCCCACCCCTGCCTTAAAGGCTCACAATGCGCATCCAAACGCTAATTTCTCCAGTACTAGACTAGGCAAATACTTCGTCTCATGCATAATCATACTACCTTATGGCAAAATAACTCTAGTTCCTCCCATTTCACTGCGCGTTGTCTTATAAAAGGTATTTGAAAATACCTCCAATGTTGTTGAAATTCTCCGATTTGTTGACAGTTTTCCCCAATCTCCAAGCAACCGTGCAGCGGGTGCGCGTACAGCGGTGCGGGCGCAGCAAAGATAAAAACATGTTACGTCACGTCACCATTCGAGGCTATTTTGTTTGGAAACAGTCGGCGTTTGCGCCGAAATGCCAGTTTTCTCACCTCTTTCTTGTGGGTTTTGAGCAAACGCCGCAGTGAAATGGGAGCAACTAGAGTTTATTTTGTCATAAGGTAGTGTGATTATGCATGACACGAAGTATTTGTAGTCTAGTACTGGAGAAATTACGTTGGATGCGCATTGTGAGCCTTTAAGTTAAGGGAGAAAATTCCCCCTTCATGACACACTTTGACACTTTGACCTTGCGCATTCAATTTAAAATGCTATGGGGTGCACACCAGTGAGCTTTTGAGATGATCTAGTGGCACGGGACTTCACTTTCTCACCGAACGTGGTGGATTGGTCACCACTATCCAAGTTAGTATATATAGAGATCAGTGTTCGCAGGTCATTACACGTTGTTCATTCTGTTTGATTTATTTACATTATTTTTTAATTTCTTGCTTTTCTACTAATCTACTTCTTTTTGTGTCACACTGGAGTATGTGGCCTAGGACTGCCATAAGGAAAATGAAAAAATAAAATAAAATAAAAATAATAAAATGAAAATGAAAAAAAATGAAAATGAAAATGAAAGGCAAAATGAAAAAAGAAAATGAAATGAAAATGGAAAAAAAATGTTAACAAAATTGAAATTGTTTTCACAGTGGCCTATCGCTTTCATAGACGGGTACCGCGTCTTCACCTCTCGGCTTAGTTACTCGATGGTATCGAGGGGAGTGAGTACAGTCTATGGCAGCGATAGGCCACTGTGAAAAACATTTCAATTTTGTTTTAATTTGTTTTCATTTTCATTTCATTTTCACAGTGGCCTATCGCTGCCATAGCCACAATGCCACTTCGTGCTAAGCTGGTGGAGAGGAGGAAGGGGAGAAGGGAGAAGGTGGTGGAGAAGGAGGAGGAGAAGCTGTGGAGGAGGAAGGGAGAACGAGAATGTGTAGAGAAGGAGGAGGGAGAAGGGAGAAGGTGGTGGGAAGGAGGGGGAGAAGTGGGTGGCAGAGGAGGGGAAGGAGAGGGAAATGGGAGGAGAGAAGCTGGTGGAAAAGAAGGAGGGAGAAGCTGGTGGCGAAGAGGAAGGAGAGGAGGAGGGAGAAGCGATCTGGGGAGAGGAAGGGGAGAAGGAGAAGGATAAGAGGGGGAGAAGGGAGCTGGTGGAGGAGGGGGAGAAAGGAGAGAAGGTGGTGAGGAGGGGAGAAGCTGGTGGAGAAGGAGAAGGGTGAGGAGAAGTGGTGGAGAAGAACGAGGGAGAAGCTGCAGAGATAGGAGGAGGGGGAGAAAGCTGGTGGAGAATGAGGAAGGGGAGAAGAGAGAAGCTGGTGGAAAGGAGGTGGGCGGAGAAGCTGGGGAGAAGGAGGAAGGCGAGAAGGAGAAGGTGGTGGAGAAGGAGGAAGAGAAGCTGGTGGAGAAGAGGAAGGGGAGAAGGAGAAGGTGTAGAGAAGGAGGGAGAAGGGAGAAGGTGGTGGAGAAGGAGGAGGCGGAGAAAGCTGGACGGAGAAGGAGGAGGGGAGAAGGAGAAAGGTGGTGGAGGTAAGAGGGGAGAAGCTGGTGGAGGAGGAGGGGGAGAAGGATGAAGGTGGTGGAGGAGGGGAGGAAGCTGGTGGAGAAGGAGGAGGGGAGAAGCTGGTGGAGAAGGAGGGGGAGAAGCTGGTGGAGAAGGAGGAAAGGGAGAATGAAGGGGAGAAACTGGTGGAGAAGGAAGAGGGGGAGAAGGGAGAAGCTGGTGAAGAAGGAGGAGAAACTGGTGGAGAAGGAGGAGGGGGAGAAGCTGGTAGAGAAGGAGGAAGCTTCGACCAGCTTCTCCCCCTTCTCCTTCTCCACCAGCTTCTCTTTTCTCTCCTCCTCCTCCACCAGCTCCCTTCTCCCCCTCCTTCTCCCTTCCTCCTTCTCCCCCTCCTTCTTCTCCACCAGCTTCTCCCCTCCTCCTTCTCCCTTCTCCCCTTCCTCCTTCTCCACCAGCTTCTCCCCCTCTCACACCTTCTCCCTTCTCCCCTCCTCCTCCACCAGCTCCCTTCTTCCCTTCCTTATCCCCTTCTCCCTTCTCCCTCTCCTCCTCCACCAGCTCCCTTCTCCCCCTCCTTCTCTCCTTCCTCCTTCTCCACCAGCTTCTCCCCTCCTCATTTTCCCACCAGCTTCTCTCTCTCCTCCACCACCTTCTCCCTTCTCCCCCTCCTCCTTCTCCACCACCTTCTCCCTTCTCCCCTCCTCCTTCTCTACCACCTTCTCCGTTCTCCCCTTCCTTCTTCTCCACCAGCTTCTCCCTTCCTCCTTCTCCACCACCTTCTCCCTTCTCCCCTTCCTCCTTCTCCACCAGCTTAGCACGAAGTGCATTGTGGGCTATGGCAGCGATAGGCCACTGTGAAAATGAAATGATAATGAAAACAAATTAAAACAAAATTGAAATGTTTTTCACAGTGGCTATCGCTGCCATAGACTGGTACTCACTCCACCTCGATACCCATCGAGAACTAAGCGCAGAGGTGACCGGCGTACCAGTCGTATGGCAGCGGATAGGCCACTGTGAAAAACATTTCAATTTTGTTTACATTTTCATTTTTTTTTCCATTTTCATTTCATTTTCATTTTCATTTTTTTTCATTTTCATTTTCATTTTATTTATTCTTATTTTTTTTTTTTTTTTAATTTTCCTTATGGCAGTCCTAGGCCACCATACTGGAGTAAACATGTGCCACAGGACTAAGACTTGAAGAAAAAGAGATCCAATAAGGCTGAGGTAGCTCGCTACTGCTACTTCTACAGCTACCGCTACCGCTACTGCTGCTGCTGCTACAGCACTGCTACTGCTGCTGCTACTGCTACTGCTACTACTTGACCAGAATTCTACGTATAGAAAATGTTCTAACACTAGCTAAATAACTTAGGCCTAAAAAAGACGTTTGTTTCCACTAACGAGCTGAAAAAAATTGGACACGGTAGGCAGGCAAAACTTTTTTATCATATATTTTTTTGTATTCTAACGATACTTGTTTTATACTTATAACAGCCCATATAATGACTTCAAAGTCAAATCAATGCATTCACCGATCGATATCACGTTGGGATTTTTTTATTTGTTAATAATTTTTTTTTTGCCGATCACAATAAGTTTCGACAGGACGGTTTAAAATGGACTCAGTCGGGTTAGCGAAAACAAACGTCTTTTTGTTAGGCTTAAAATAATATCCCAATCGTTCAGCAACACTTACTCTAAAAGCAAATAGCTCTCTAACTCTACGATTGATTACACACACGCAGTCTCAGACACATACCCGCGCACATTAACACGCATGACGTATACACGAACACATGCATACAGGCGCGCATGTCAAACGCACATGTCCATACAGCTATGTACTCACGCACGCATACACACCCGCATGCCACGCACGCTTTCAGTCACACACACACCCACGCATGCATGAACGCACACATACGTGTCCGTGCACAAACAGACACACGCACACACACACGCCGCGCGCACACACCTACGCGCACGCACATAAACACACACGCACACACAGACACTTGCTTATGTGCTCAAAGACGCGCAAGCACCTGCACTCATACACACAAACCACGGACGGATGCACGCTTCACGCACGTTCACCTGCCCGCACACACACACACACACACACACCTTTATCTTTAGTCCAGACATCTTCGCCTCATCGGCGAATTCCTCGAGGACGACCCACAGCGTCGATGCGGGCACCCACGCCAGCTCTGCAGCGACCGCTGCCCATGGCGTCCGCAGCGTCGCGAGGTACGCAGCCTTGACCCCGAGGCACGCCACAGCGAACGCGAGCGCGCGCACGCCGCGCACACCGCACGCGAACGGCCGCACCACACACAGTGCGGGTGACTGCGCAAGCAGCATCGCCGCGACGACAGCGCCCATACTCGTCTCGGTGCCGCCGAGCTCGCGCATGCGCCAGAAGACGAACGCCTGCAGCGCGCTCTCCACGCAGCCCGCCGTGGCGGCAGCAGCCAGCGCTGCGATGCTGCGTCCGTCCGCCACCACCGCTGTAGCGACCCGCCGCAGCGCATCACTGCCCGCCCGCCGCGCCGACTCTCGCCAGGGGGCGCCGCCGAACAGAGCCGCAACAAAGGCGACGCCGAGCAGAAGGAAGAAGGCAAAGAAATGGGCGAGGATGCGGCCGACGCCGGTTGTCACGGAAACGATTACGCACGGCAGCTCGTCAACAAGGAAGCAGATGCCGACGACAGCCATCGCCGCGGCAACGAGTGACCAGACACGGTGTGCACGGTACTGTTCAACGCAGTCTCTATCGTCGAGGTGACGGTAGAGGCTCTCTTTGAGGATGCCTCGGACAGGAGCGAGGAAGAGCGAGCCAAAGCCGAGTGACAGTAGTGCGGCGATGAAGCTCCATCGAGTGACGAACTCGTGCGCCGTCACCACGAGTACGTCCACGTGACCCCCGGCCAGACGCTCGACAAACTCGTGACGCGGAGCCACCATCGCAGCATCTGCGACCGCATTACTTGTCTTCGGGTCGCCGCTAGCAACGATGCTAACCTCAGCCGCGTCGCGTTTCTTCCGTCCAGTCTTGTACCGCCTGTCCCTGAACCAGCCAGAGGACGCGGTCGTCGCAGGCCACATCTCCTCACCCTGCTGCCTCCACGAGCCATGGTCTGAGTCGCCTGCCTCCCCTCCATGCCTCGACCGCATGTCCGACCCCTGTTGCCTCAACGACTGGCTGCGGCTGCTGCCGCTCCACCGATGCGAGGGTTGCAGGGTTGGCGCGGAAGGCTGATCGTGGTTCCACGCGTCGATGGCTGACACTTCCAGCCCATCTTGCTCCTCCCCGTCCCCTACGGCGCTGCTTCGCCAAGCGTCCACGACGCGCCCACCCATTTGACGATGGCTGTCGCTGTCACCGCTCGATGACTGCCACCAGTGTTGGGACTTCTCCTTAGCTGGGGGCGTCGTCGTTTTCCGCCACCAGTACCGGGACCGCTCCGGACCCAATCGGGGCGGCAGTGTTGTCGTCGTCTCCCGCCACCAGTACCGGGACAGCTCCGGACCCAATCGGGGCGGCGGTGTTGTCGTCGTCGTCTCCCGCCACCAGTACCGGGACCGCTCCGGACCCAATCGGGGCGGCGGTGTCGTCGTGTCCCACCCGGAATCTACTCGGGAACGAGCCTGACCAGATACACTAAGTGGCGTGGACAGGTCCCACCCGTGTTTGTTCAGGCCGTCGCTCTCTCCTTCTGCACGTGAATTTCCAGAGTGGTGATACTTGTGGCGGGTAAAGATATCCATGGGTGGTGGCAGCGTGTTAACCTTCCCCTGGCGGCGATCCGCTGGTGATGTGCTCTGTCTCTCTGAAAGTTCGGTGGGACTGTAGCGGGTGCTCAAACCACTTTTGTTTTCATTGTTCTCATTGTCATCACCATCATCATTGTTGTCTTCATCTTCGTCTTCGTCATTGCTTAACAGATCCCAGTTCCAGTCGCTGCTGTCCCACTCCTGCCACTTCTTGTTAGGCTTTAGAATTACACGTGGATGTGGGGTAGTTGCCATTCCCTCTTCCGGAGGAATGCTGATTGAAGGAACGCTGTTCCCTGAATCCCCAGCATCGCTCATACTAATGCTCGTCGCACTGGGCACTCCAATTCTACTAACGTCTGACTGTATCTCTGTGAAAGAATCACCCCGTTCTGCTTGGGTCAGTCTATCAAGCTGTGACACGTCCTGCTGGGTGGACATAGCCTGCCCCTGCGTGGTGACTCTCACTACTGCCACTGTGCCAGTCGGGAGGGGCTGGGTTGTGCTAGCTACCTTCTTGGTACTATGACTCGAAGTGGTTCCGCTGGTTGTCATGGGAACGTCTGGGTGTACTACATGTACACGTGTCGCAACCATGGGTACGGATGTGATTCTGTCTACTGTAATTGCAGCTGATGATTGGTTTTCTCCAGTTCTCTGAGCTGTAGTCTGCAAAGCCAATGGCGTTTTCCCCCACGTGCTTGTTAATCTTTCAGTCTGCATCTTCATCAATGCAGTAACAACATCACTATGGTAGTTTTGTGCCAGAGTTGAAAATGTAGGCACTGGTGTCTTTTCTAATGTATCTACATTTAAAGCGCTGCCTAACTGCTGGAATTTGGCTTGCTGAATTTTATCTTCCGGTGAAATCAGTTCTGTGTACTTTGATGTGATGGTTACTGGTTCCGTCATCATAGCTGCCTTTGGACTTGTATCTTGCATTTCCTTTGTTTCTCCAACCGCTTCTGTTTTTAAAAGAAATTCTCTTCCAATGTCATTCTTCATTGACTTTTGTATGACTTCTACTGTCGTTCTAAAATCAGTAGATCTTGCCATCCACTCTGTTGTTACAATGTCGTTCACATTTAACGTTTTAGTGACTTCATCCGACAGAGGAAAGCTTTGTTTGGGAATCGTTTGAATGGCTATTCCAGCAGCTAGTGTCTCGGCTTTGGGTTGCTTTGTGCTTTGATTTATGCTTTCAGCAGTATCATGTGCTGCATGTGACGGCAAACCTGGTTCAAAGCCTGTTACACCTACGAATGAAGTCTCCTTATATGCATTCTCACTCTTCTGCTGTTCCGTTGCATGCTGGTGGCTCTCTGTTGCTAACTGAGACACACCAGATGAAGTTAACACTACCTTGTCACTATTGAGATCATTGCTCACAGTCACAGATAAAGCTTGCTTCAGAGTAACGGGAGATGTGATGCTGATCTCGTCTGTATGAGCCGTTTCCTCTTTTAGCTGGGTGCTGTTGTTCAATGCCACACCAGTAGCCTGGTGCAAGATGAGCACTCCATCTTGAGAAGCACTACCTAGTAGTGGCCTGGAGTTTTCGCAGAAGGCAGCGGCACCATCTACGTCTTGTGGAGGGATCAGGCCCAGCACACAGAAGCCGACCGCCGTGAGGAAGATAGTGGCCGGCACGAGTGCGTTGCCGTGGTGACGCCCGCCCCGCCCTGCCTCCCAAGCGGCGATGGTGGCAACGGCAATGAGGCCGCACAGTGCCCTTGCGGCAAGCAGCACACCGGTCTGTGGCGCTGTGAAGCCGAGGTAGCCAAAGAAGAGTGGCAGGAATGGGATGAGTACCGCTTCGCCAGCGCTGAGCACGGACAGCAAGAAGGTGCTCGTACGCAGCGCGCCGCGCATGCTCACCACACCCTCGTACATTGCACCAACACTAGTGCCACCTGCAAGAGGCGACCCCACCAAATGCACTCTCACTTCGTTTGCTACGTGGACAACACGTCAACAGCCCTCTTGTTACACGGCCGAGACACCAACCACAATTTTAATTTAAGTCGTGCCTCACCGACAAAAGAAGCCAGCGTTCAGAGGCCAATATGCTGCTTATACCCCGGCAACTGTTTCACGGACGAATCCACGACTAAAAACAAGTCCTGTGATTCCACGTTGGGTGTTTCTCTATCTTCGGCGAAGTTACCACTAAGTAGCCACTCGGTTGTGCCAGACTGACCATCATCCTGCATTCATTCTAAAATGGCAATCAAGACACGAATTACACGTATATTGTATTTCATTCACACACAATTAGAGGGTATACGTATGCAGCACTTGACAAAGACTATATACAGTTCCATCCCCCGTTACAGCAACCCTGTTTACATAAATTCATCCATGCCTAATTTGTAAATTATATGACCAAAACGGAAGATCTTCTATACGAAACGAAAATTCGTTCCTACGGAATTTATCAATACCAGTTTACAACGACCTCAGCTGAAACGGCTACAGTGAGTTGTACAAAGAGAAGATCGTATGTAAACAGTAACCAACTTTAGATAAATTTTGGCTTTCAGGTCAAAGCCTGAATCATCTAAACCCGACAACGATAGAGATAATGAAAGAGAGCAGGCTGAAAAAGAGCCCCCTCCCAATTAGATACAATAATGTAACCCAAACACAGGTTACATTACCTACCCCTACCCCTACCCTACCAAACCCCTACCCCTTTGTTTGGGTTACATTATTGTATCTAACCAGTAACCTCCAAATATAACTCTTATAGTTCCAATTCTGAATCCATCATTCCTACTTTTATTATGACATTATGCTCACATATTCTCAAACTATAGAAATCATGTTTTTTCAACTACATCTTTTATCTCAATAATTTTTTGCTCAATAACTTATCTCCTAACTCATATAATGGAGGTCAATGAAAAGACGTGATTCTCGTTATGGATTTACGTGTTATTAACGGATTTTCTGGGACACATCACTTATGCAGATAAGGTCTATGTCTCCCTGGGTACTGCCGGAACGTACCCTGGGTACGGTGCGGTATACCGGAACGTACCCTGGTAACTATCTGATATGGTTAGGGCTAGGGTTAGGGTTAGGGAGTAGGCATAGGTGACTCCCTAGACTCGTTAGTGGAGTAGGCGAGGTACGGTCTGGCATATTAGATAGTACCAGGGTACGTTCCGGCAGTACCCAGGAAGACATAGACCCTGGCAGCATCACTTATGTAACGCGGGGGAATATCCTGCTAAGCTGTCTGTTCACTCTCGTTTACCCACTACTCAATAGTACCCTACGGTAAATTACCGTTGCCGAATGTACAGGGCCGTAGGCTGAGCAAATTCCTAGGGGGGGGGGGGCAGTCGCGGATCCAGGATTTCAAGGAGGGAGTGAGAATTAAACAGGTGGATTAAATAAAATTTTGAAAATTTAGATCGCAGGAGATGGTATTTGAGGCACTTTTGAGTACATGTACAGCCTTCATTCGGACTACGACAATTCTCTTTTAGTAGATCAATTTATTTTTTTAATTTTACTCCAAAATTTAGGGGGGGGGGGCAGCTGCCCCCCTTGCCCCGCAGGCTACGGCCCTGATGTAACTGGGCAAACTAATCTAGAGAGTGAGTCTAAACTTTAGACCAAATTCATAACAATGTGTAAATATTAAATAATGACACCCAGACACAATAATGTAACTTGGCCAACACAAGTAGTAAATAACCTACTCTTTTGATGCATTATGTTATTGTATCTATACATGTATGTATATAAATTTCTACGGGCATATCACAGTCTTTTTCGCTCTCATAACTATACAATACCTCAAATAATGAAAGAGGTAATGACACTATAGCTCACCACAAAAAAGGACACAAATGAGTGAGTGAGAAGAAGTCAGTTTTAATTGTAAATTGAGCAACCATCGACGTACATTATAGAAACGAAAATTATATATGGGAGAACTCCCATTATATACTCTTGATAATTTTGTGTAATTTTTTATGTGAAAATAAATGTTTGAGATGTGAAAGTCTGAGATGAGGTAGAGTGATGGCGTTACACCTAAATGATTGCCATTTAACGTTTTTATAATATTCAGATTTAGGCACTGCCTAAAACAGCCGAGCTAGCTCCCGATGTGTAACGTGTAAGATTGAGAGGATACGCTTATTCCACGTAGCTGCTATATACCACGTGACAATGGTGTTTCCCTGCCCATAACACAACTTTTCTCAAAGGTTAATTGGTTGCATGGAAGTGGTTACTTCGTATGAGTTTTTCTAGGCGGTAGCACACGGTTGCCATCTGTATTTCGCCAATTGTAATTTATAAACCAAATGAATCACAATTTTGTGGACGGTCGAGTGGCCGCCTATACCCGCTTTGATGTTTCTTAGCGATGGCGTTCAAATAAATAGGTTATGCTGCCGTTCCCGACCATGTTTTGTAAAACTTACTCTAATATAGAGTTTTATACGCGCAAGGTGGAAGAGGAAATACCAATTTTGCATTAAAGATATTGTCATGAAATCTTGTAAAACGAACCAGCAAGTTGTGACACCACAGACTGTTATCTGGCGGTGTCTAATAAATGCTATATAATTGCCAAAAAACCTACCTAACTTGCGATAATTTTCTTTTAAATATCAAAACAAACCTGTAATACGTTTTGCGGTCCAGCCTTATTCATTCACATACCACAAGAGCGCAGAGCGTCTGGGCTCATCTGAGGTCTGTTGCTTACAATTATAAACGTAAAATTTCAGTCCGTGCGTAGTACCACATTTTTAGGCGCAGATAATGCAGACACGCAGTTGCGTACACATCATTGTTAGGACACGCCCACTATCGCAGATGGAGGGTAGGCGGGAGGGGGGGGGGGAGGTGTGGGGGAGGGTGGGGGAAGGGGCGGGGGAGGGGTGGGGAAGGGGGAGGGTGCGGGGGAGGGGCTCTAATAGCAAAAGCAGTTCACTCCTTTGTTAACAGTCAACAAATCCATGTTTTAACCCTCTCTTGAGGGTCAAAGGGTTATCCGACACTTACTCTTCGCTTGTCAGCAGAAGGGACATTCATGGTCTTTTCAATAAAGCCATAAAAATGCTAGCGGTCACCGCTGAAACAAAAAGTTTTTCAATGCGCTCGTCAGCCCATGCTCCTCAGAAAATGTCTAAAATCTGCCCTGTGCCCATTGACCTTTGACCCTGTGACCCCAATTTCAGCCCAGTGATGGCTTTCCTACCATGATGCTATACACCGACTATCACGAGCCTAGGTCGAGCCGTTTAGATTTGTGCCGCCAATTCTGCATTTCCTGCCCTATACCTTAAGTTAGGAGTGAATGTTCCCCCTTCTTTTACACTCTTGACTTTTGACCTTTGACCCCAGCTTCGGACATCCCAACTCGTTTTGACGATCCCCCCAACAAGCGCCGAATATCGTGACCGGTACGTCGAAGGCGGTTAAGATTGTGCCAACTGTTGACGCACGGACGGACGGACGATCAAGCGATTCTACAAGCTGCATCTGACTATGTCAGATGAGCTAAAAATGAGCAAAATCCGTTGAACCTGAACTGACTAATGGCAATTTCCATTTTTGCCAAAAAATTGCCGTGGCTTGAAAGTACGTCGACTGGCGTGCTCAAAAACAGGACGTTCAAACCTCTCCCCTAGCAGTAACAACTATACCCAATTTCAAACACGTGGGTCAAACGGTTCCTGAGTTATTGTTGACCGTAGCCAAATGTTGACGGACGGACGGACGGACTGACGTACGACGACCCATGGCAATAGCTCGTCTTGACGATGTCAAGGTGAGCTAAAAACCCAGCAAGAACATGCATATGTCATTTTTCACTAGACTGTATAGATTGACCTACATCTATATGATATCGATTATAGTACCGTACTACGTACTCTCCGACTCTCATTCCCCAACGTGTCAGATAATAAAATTATGAGTTTAATGTATGTTACTATGCAATTATAAATTACATGGACTTAATTATATCTCTAATATATTTGTCACTAGCTCATACACAAACATGCAAGTATATATAAAACACAAATTTCCTCACCAATGTAATTCATACTCAATGATGAAGTCTATGCCGCCCTCATGCACTGGCTCAACTCAACACGCAGACAGCCCACTCAGACAGGATACTTCAGATCACACCTGCTACACGATACATGCACCCAACAGGAAAACCACTCGGAATTTCCAGGCTGTGCTTCCTGATAGTTGAACCACTGTATTTAGCTTGCATTTCCTGTCACAGCTTGTTGCAAGCAGGCTGAAAATTTTAGCCAGACTGACAGTTGGAAATCCACAATATATCACCAGACATTAGAGCAAAGGATGTGAAAATTGTGAAAGCAATTTTCAGGCAAGAATAGCATTTAATCGTTGTCACACCGAAAACATGTTTCGCACTACTATTACTAAGATCCTAGTCGTTAGATAAACAGACAAACAGTAACACAACTGTAAAAATGTACTCGTCTGCGATATCTACCCGTACTCTGAATGATACTGCACACGAAACTCCCCACCTGTTGCCACTTTCCAGCAGCCATTCACACCATTATGGTACTCGCATGGGCAGCACGCACATTTGAGTATTGCAACTCTACTGGTACCCACGCCATGAACCAGAATGCGCATGAATAAATTGGGTTAGTGCTAGAAATCATGCTGGTATAGTGGTCGGCTGGTAGCTATAATTATAGATATCTACACTAGCGTATAAAGAAGGATATGAAGTTCCTTCTTTATACGCTCTTGATATCTACAATACACACTGTATATATAGAGAGATATCCATGGTTGACTTAGGATTGGTAGCAGGAGTGAATGAGATCTCATGATGGTAGTAATGTGCGGTCTATGCAGTTTGTTTAGTAGTCGTAGTAAGAATCAGTTGTTATCCTGACCAAATATATCAACGCACCTGCCCAGCATCTGCCTCATGGCTGATTAGCATGTTGCTAAGCTTATGCGGGTTTTTAGTTTGGAACGTTCGAGTTTGATATACGAGACCGCATACATGTTAGGCCTACAAGTACGCGTGAGCGTGTGTGCGCGAGGAAGTCTTCATGCAAGCGCACTGTAGAAGCGTTTAGGCCTACGTACGTGCGCGCGAACCAGAGGTAAGACTAGATACAATAATGTAACCCAAACCCAGGAGGATAGGGACCCCCCCTATCCTCCTGGGTTTGGGAACATTATTGTATCTCAGGCCCGTAGCCAGGGGGGGTTCGGGGGGTTCGAACGAACCCCCACCGAGCCCATCCCCCCAAGCAAAAAAATTTTTTTTTTTTAAATTTGCACGAATTTCACCTCAGGTCGCTCCATTTTAGTGTAATAATTGCAAATCTCCGATCGTTTGCGGAGGCCGTGACAGTCGCAACACCCCCCCCCACACCTCCCCCCGCCTTGGCTCCTCGCCCTGGTCGCTTCGCGCCCGAGCAGGGGCGTGTACAGGGGGGTCCAGGGAGTCCGGACCCCCCCTTGCCTCGCGCAGAAAACGCATCTGAGGGCGGTGTAATTTTAAAAAATTTCTGGGGAGGGCCCCATCCCTATGACCGAAGGTCCGATAAACCGAATCGCTGCAGGTACTTACATCTCCTGGACAACAAAGTCTTCATGGATCACCGTACCCTACCCTACACCACATCAAAATGGCTGTCAACTCCCTATGCAGGAACTTCTCACTGGACCGGGTTGAACACGAACCACAATACAGCTTGGGCACGCTTAACGCGACGATGGTTACCAGGGTTAATAACTCATGGTACACGCTCGGTAACAGCAAGAGCAGATCGACCGCCCAAGCTGTAAAGGCAAGGAAAATCACGGAGGAACAGCTGAAGGAGACTGATGAAAAAACCATAATCGCCTTCACTGACGGATCAGCACTCGGGAATCCTGGACCCTGTGGGGCGGCAGCCATCATCTACGCAAATGGCATCAACAGCCAAGCCATCGCCATCCGAAAGGCTATCTCGTGTAAAAGCAGCAGCTATCACGGAGAACTGCACGCAATATTCCTCGCATTGGACTTCGCAATCAACTACTCTGCACTCCACACATATTCAAACTCAGAATTCCTCGGACTGCCAAAGCGCCATTCTCACCGGCACGGCCCCCCAACAAAACAACCTTTTACAAACACTTACCTCAAACATCCAGAGAAAGAGTAAGCAGCTATACACAAATAACATCAAGATTGACATTTGCTGGGGCCAGGACAGTGCAGGCCTCGGCTGCAAATGAACTTGCGAGACACAGACAGCGCAACGGCAAGCCTTCGAGGCCGCAGAAATGGATATATCTGAGACCACTCTCCGCTTTCTTTCTCCCGAGGCCAAAGGGAGAATCAGAAAGCTTGTAGAACGATGGCAGAGTTCATCGGGACAGCTCTGTTACAGGCAGGTCTCTTTCATCATCTGGAGCTAAGGTAAAACATAAGCAGCGTTCGCAGCCTCACCAAATCGCAGAACAGAAACCAAGCTGAACAGGATTAACTGGACACACAAACTGAAAGCCCACATGTTTAAGATCGGGGCAAGTGATAGTCCCCCTATGCGACCTGTGGCCTCGCCCAATGAAAGCCGTGGAACACAAGTTATTACATTGCTCACGACTCAAGGTTAGCAGGGAGAAGATGACTGACACGATCGAACTGGGGTATGTGAAGACCAACACCAACCCAAGCCATCGGTCTATTGACATAGCCAGCCCTTACTGGGGAAAACAGGAATCTTACACCAGAGATGGATGCCACCATCAACAGGCCCTCTCCACGATTCCTGTCTGAGTCCATCCAAGAATTTAGCCACATACACTCGTTGTTACCAATTTTTAAAAACTACAACAACAAATTACTATGACGGAACACGGTAGCTAATGATACAAAAGGGTTTTACATTCGTGACCATGACCTCGTGAAGTAGGAGGATAAACGAATAACAACAACAAAAGAATATTGCAAAGGGTTAGGGTTAGGGTCAGGGTCAGGGTCAGGGTTAGGGTTAGGGTTAGGGTTAGGGTTGCGTAGCCTGGAGGCTAGGCGACCGATTCCGGACGTGTAGCCACTGCGTATTCGAATAAACCTTTGGTCTATCGGGCCTTCGGTCTATCGGACCTTCGGTCTATAGGGCTGTAACCCCCCCCCCCAGACCCCCCTTTGCGTGCTCGCAACTATGGGTTACGGTTAGACCCCCCTGGTACAAATCCTGTACACGCCCCTGCCGAGCAAATTGCCAACATTGCGAACCTCCCCCCCCCCACCAAATAGAAAGCTGGCTACGGGCCTGTATCTAAGGTAAGACTAGCTAGAACAAATGCAATGCTATGTAAGCTTTGAAAATAATGTTATCCGATGAGACTTAATGCTAGAAATAGAACTATAGAAATATGATGTGGAAGCCGCCGGCCGTGACAATGACATAATTTTTCAGTATATCCAATGTTTTACGATTTTTTCATTTGTGTATGGTACGAGTAACATAAACTCATACTCATAGACATACTAATTACTACTCATAAAGATTACTAGTCATAAAGATTATACCGTACTATAGTCTTCAAAGTCCATCGATAAGTTCAATAATGACAATACTCACCAGTAGGCAGTAGTATAGTAATACTAGTAGTAGTAATAGTATTAGTACTAATAGTAGGCCTATAGTATATGATATATCGAATGCGGAAAGAAACAAAGTTGATCAAATAGAAAGATCAATAAAGCTTCAAATTTGCAATTAACCAAAGAGGAATGAAGATAATTCCAACATCGAATGGCATATACGAAGGAGCTAAACTTAAAGAGACCTTTTGAAGATGGCACGTGTCGCACGCATACTGATTGCGCTCTCATGTAAATAAATTACTACAAGCATATCTGGGTCATTCAAGTTGCTCACTCGCTGGCGGGTTTCTATATAAATAATCACCGAGCGCCATCTACTGGACATATTGCTAATCAATATTACTTCGTTTTATACACAAGGAAAATTCTTTACGATATAACATTTAAACCTTATGCTTTCCAAAACTTTACAAATCTTGCTTAAAGCAAGATTACAGAAAAATTAAAAACCTAACACACACAATTCACCTTCCCACACAAATTATGTTACCATGGTTTTTTTCTCTTTTAAACACTAGAAGCAATCATTTAATATTCAGTATAAAATGATAAATTCCCTATAACAGATAAAGCATGGTGACACACAAAGTCAATAACAACTAAACATAGTTATTTTATTTATCCTATGGGTTGTACAGCTATGTAATTCCTGTGTCAGGGTGATAAGCTGTAGAGCAAAATAGCAGTCTGGCCACTGAACCACTAGAGGCTGTAGCATTAACAAATTTATAAAACTTGTTAAATATTTTGCATAAAGATGTTCGTAGCTGTAACAGTTTCTTTTACAGGCACAGCCTTGAAGCACAATGAGCCAAACTTACGTATACCAGAACATTAACAAGTATGGCATCACCTGTACTACACCTGGTATCACAGCTAGCGAGAGTAACCTAAATGAGTTATTGCCATATCGAATGCTAAAAATGTGAGCGGCGCAGAGCCGGTTGGTCACGTAGGGGGCGCTCCTCCTCGTGATTGTTTCGTGAGCGATCGAGACCTCTTTTCTCGAAGAGTGGCTCGCTTCAACTTGAGGATTCTGTGAATGAAAATGAGAAGTGAATCAGAGTTCATCCGCAATGTGTGTACAGTCACTAGATTCTCACAGTAGCCATTGCAATGTTTGCACCTGTGAGACGTGATGAGCTACAGTGCTGCAGTGGTCCAGCAATGCATTCAGCTTTATTTTCAAAGGCTGCTGCTTGAAACGTCAATCATAGCAGTAAATGTTCTCAAAGTGTAAAACTAAAATCGAGCCCCTGGCTCTTAATAGCAGGGTCAGTGAATGCCTCATGATTCGGATCACCAAATAAACTGACAAGTCTGTCTTTAGTGACAGGCATGTAAAACAAAGGGATTTGGAGTGTAGCCACTTGCAAGTATCTAGAGGGGAAATTAGCTTCTTCTACTGTTTTCTCTACAGGTAACTCTTAGAAACAAAATGACATCCGTTGAGCCTCTCTTACCAGGGTCATGAAATTGTTAACAGAATATTATGTGCAATGACATCTCCATATCCGATGGCAAAATACTGATAAAATCTGTTAATTTGATGGTGATCAGAAGAAGAACATACTGAGGTTTCACTGTAGTTGTGTGGCTGGCTATGTAAACTGAATTTATTGTCTAAATTAAGAACTGCATAAAAGTACATACTGTTGTGAATGGTTTTCCCTGACTGAGTCAAATATTTACAACTAGAAGACCCTATAACAGACATGCTCACCTGGCCTTCATGGCCTGTTTGTCTTCCTCTGATGGCTCAGAGGGCTCAAACTCAGCCTCACGCACTGCAAAGCGGATCTTGTCCAAGCAGTCTGCAAGGTTGAGCATCTGAACACGCGTCCGGTCGGAAACAACGATGAACTCTCCGATTTTATTGATCCTAGTGTGGTACTGAAACGTGTCGGTAATTGCCTTAACCACATATCTACGTGCGCATGCGAGTAAACATAGCTGCTTGGGCATGTATACCCATCTATACTAGTATCTTCTACTGCTTATTGATTGCTGCTATTGTACTACATTATCCACGCGACGTAACGAGTCATCGAGCCTGATTGGGGTTAGTAAGTCGATACCATAACATTATAATGTTGGTAAAAAAATCCAACGACTGCAAGTATGGATGGTTATATGATTATCAATGTGACATCTTTCTGATTACAATATATATGTTCAAGTTTACAAACTTGCAGTTAGCAAGATTTAAGCTGTCGTTCGCCAACTGCTAATTAAAGTTGAATTTGGCGATAAAATGTTATAATTAATTTGCCAAAAAGCTAAAGCTAATTAGGCCCTTCACGCAAATTCTACCCAGTGGTACCTACTGGCACTACCAGTACCCACTGGCAACAGCTACAGGCTTGCTAACCCAAAGCATGAGGTACACCGAGTGTGTTCATTGTTTACTCAGTACTGAAACTTTTCCGGAAAAGACCGAAGATTAACATTAAATAGTTAGTAGATATCCATATCCTGAAAGTGTGCTCGCTGAATTAAAAATAATAAAGCATAAATTTGGCTACACATTTTCAGACCAATTTAACCAAATTGCTAACAATTTTTTTGTCTAGTTTAAACACCGAGTTAGTTACAATTCGTTGTACCATTTCTTTTAGCCTTTGTCTAGATTTTTCTGGAATCCAGTCTGCAGAATCGAGATGAAACCGAACCTCTGCTTTTGAGCTGACTGGAAGAAACAGATGGAAAATGTATACATGCACGCACATGATATAATCATACATACAGCTACAATGTACAATAACAGTAGTTAATTACTCTAGCTTTATCAATGGGTAAATCAATTTTAATACCTTTGTTAACATTTTGGCCCCCTGGTCCACCACTTCTTAAGTATTTGATGGCAAGTTTCTCTGCAATGGAAAAACACAATGTAACTATATAAGTTTGCAGTTTTAAATTTGTGGCATTAAACATTAGCAAAAACATTCATACACTTGTATGAATGTTCTATACACGGCTTCGTCGTAATAGTATTATATACTATACTATATCAGTGTTTCCCCTGCATTGACACAAGCGAGGTGGGCCGCCACACAGAAACACCGCCTCGCTGACAAAAACCTCATACAATGTGTTCAGAATAGCTTAGAATGCACCAAATTGCATCATTTTTTCAAACCCCCTAGCTGAGCGAGTGCCTACGGTGCTCGCTTTGCTAGGACCTCGAAACATGCAAGCACACACACAAAATTACCACCTCACAGACCTTTTTGGCCAGGGGAAACACTGCTATAAAAATAGTATAATCATATTTTATTCAGTTAGTAAATTGTGTTAATAGCCTTGGAACATATAGCTCACATCTCTTTGCAGACCATGTTATTGCATGACAAAAAAACTGCATTGGGCTTTGCTTTATAATGGTTTAGATAGCAAATTTCATGTGAATTACCTATAGGGATGAAGCCAGAGAAGTTGTCACCAGAAGAGTATGTATGCTGAAAAAGAACAGATCAGGTTTGCCATTTTTACATGAATTTGCTTCACATTTGAATGAAATATTAGAAGCTTCCTAAAAATGCTAAAATAGATTATTTTCCTTACAGTTATTATTTATTTATTCATTAATTTAAAGACAGTACATTGGTAAAAAATAGAACAATATGAGCTTGCATGCTCCTCACTGTCAGTGCAATAATAAAAAAACAGTTCTTGATTAAAAGTGCTAGCGTATGAGCTTTATTTTGAAATCATTGCTCGAAAATGTAATCTGGAAAAAAATATAGTGAAATATAGTCTCACCTAATTATTAGTGGATATATCACTGATTACACCAACTTAAAAAGCACTAAGAATTTATGCTGTTATAACATAGAAAATTGGAATTGAACACGCCGTAACACCATGGCATAGTTGATTATAGCAACAATTACTGACCACGACCTTGTAGACCTAGACTATGGTCTGTAGCCTAGCGGATGTTGGGGGGGAGTTGATTTGATAGCCAAGCGCCATGATACTGAAAAGATTTCTTGCCATTAGCTATTGATCTATATAGTAAGAAAGAGCAAAATTTTATTTCAAAGGTTGTAAGGGGCACATGAGTATTTAAAAAGACTCTTCTGTAGCGATGGTCTTAACTTGCCCCAGTCCTAAGCTAGGAAAATTGGTGTAGGCTAAAAGATCTTTGTAGGTGTGGCCGCCATGACCAATGACAAAGCAGAGTGCTCTTCTCTGTATTTTTTCGAGTTTGTTTTATGTTTTCCTGTGTAGTGTAGTGCCAAACAGCGGGACAGTAGTTGAAATTTCTGAGGCAGTATCAGGGGTAGAAATTAACATTTGAACAAGGTAGTCCAACCTGTCCTGCCCTCCCCTCCCCCAAAAAGTCCCTGCCCTCAAAAAGAGGGAGTCCGCAACAAAATGAGACAGTCCGCAGTATGAAGTTCAAAACTAAAGATATTAACAATAACGCGTATGCTTATTTTGAAGATTCATGTGGTTGCACGTCTGCCAAATTGTCTTTGGATATTTGCTGAAAAAACACGGCAATTCCGCAAGGCCGTGCTCTGGAACAAACTAGTTAGTATAGCAGAATTTTCAGGGAGTCACACAGACTCCTGCATACGTCAAATCAGGGAATATTTGACTCCAGACTCGCGTTAATTTCACACCCTCCTGTATGATTTGTAATATTGTATATTTGAAGTCTGGATTTGTAATCTAAGCTAAGTGGACCTCCAGCTTTAAGTTTAACCCGCTGCTTCAGCCCTTTATCACACTTTATCAACTAACCAGTTGTCTTCCTCGAAAATTGAGGTCTCATTCACTACACTAGTTAGCCCTAGAGGGTTATGCCAAGCTGACCTGTTTTTTGACACTGAGACCCTCAGTGTGGGTGGTGACTGCCACAGTGCCAGTTTTAGTACTTTTAGTTTTACCCCATTATTATTATCATTGACATTGTCATTGACAGTTATAATAATAATAATAATAATTTTTTTGTTTGTTTTTGTTTTGTTTAGTTTCTTGTTCACTGTTACTCAGTTTTATCGTTCATATGTTTTGATCATTTTCGCTGTCATGTTTTCGCGGTTTCACATGCATGCTCACCATCCACTATATGGCAACCAAGTATATTAGAATAATGACCCATCTGCCTACTATTAGCATGACATTTTATTTTGAGGGGTGGCAGATGTTGATAACCTGCGGGTTCTTTCGCCACTAAACTAGAATGCTTCCTTTGTAAACTAGATTAACTTGACTTGTATATTTCCCATTTGCAGCTGTACACTGTATATACACGACTTATGCACAAAATAAACATCTTGAATCTAATAATCTATTAGTATTACTAATACTACTACTAGAGACAGGCCCATTGTATGTGGTAATCCGAGCCAGCTTTATACATCTTTAAAAAATTCACCGCCTTGATCCACGTCCGGGGTTTGAACTCTAACTCTAAGTTCTAATAACAGGGTTCATACTAGTAAGACACATGTTGAAATAAGGACTTATAAGACCCTTTCTGGAGGCCAAAATGACTTTTTTACGCGATTTCTGATAGATCACCGACTATTAAAGTACACTAATAATATTTATATACACAATTGCACAGCAGATTTAATTATTCCGTATTATATATACAACAATTCTTACTCTAAGTCGAGAACAGTTTATAAAACAATGTTGAAAAATGGTCCTTTGGCAAAAAAATAACGCAGTGGCTACTGGTACGGTAGCCGTCGGTCGTTGAAGCCCCTTTTTGGCGTTAGGGTTAGGGTTAGGATTAGGGTTTAGGGTTAGGTTTAGGGTTAGGGTTAGGGTTAGGGTTAGGGTTCTAGCTCATCTAAACTCTGAAATCGTGAATTTATTTCCCAAGGCGTTATTTCGAAATCTGGCGCGACCGCCGCCATCTTTGTCTCGTTAAGTATGAAAGCGAATGGACTCCCGTACCCGTAGCCTCGAGACATTAAGATACGGCTACCGTACCCGTAGCCACTGCCAAAAAATAAGGACTATTAAGTACTTTTCTAAAATTTCACCAAAAATAAGTACTAATAAGTGCCCTTATTTTATTTTTGGCAAAATAAGTACTTATAAGACTTTGGAAGACCCGCTACGAACCCTGTAATAATAATGCCTAATGCCAGTAATGCACTAATGACTATAATGCCAATGGCAAAAAATGGAGATTATTTAGGTCGACCTAGCATTCACTAGGGCCTATTCTAAACTATTCAGTTTATTGCACTAAGTCTAAACTTGCCTTAATGGTAGGAACATTGCCACAATCAAGCGTACTTTTCGGGTATAAGTTATCTAAGCTTAATGCACTTTTGTATCCAGCCGCTGGCAAGACTCTGGACAGTCGAGTTTCCCTTAAAAGTAAGGAAAAACTGCGAGAAATTGACCTGAACATAACTTTTAATTGCTGTCAGCCATTACAGCTGTAAGCTGCTGCCATCTATAATTCAGATTGGTACTTCCCTGATTTTTGTGTGGATGATTTCGCATAAAAATTGTCAATACATGCTAATCCCATGATTACCCAAATATAATATCTATGTTGTTAGACTTAAAATATGAAGTTGTAACTTTAGAACTAATATTCATTGCAACTCTATACATTGCAAACACAAACACAAATAGACGAGAAAAATCACATAAATTTGTGTCAATAATTTTTACGCGTGTAACAAAACGATCATCACTGTTCTAGCATCTCAGCAAGATGTTTGATGAAACGCAAAGGAAAGCTTAGATTTTGTAAATAATTCATCCGATCACAATAATTTCTAGTGTGTGCGCATGAAACTGTCATTTAATTCTGCTCTTGTTATTTATTCACTACTAGTACTAGGCGCCTAGCCCGCCTACTACTACTACTATTATACTAGTACTACTACTAGTCTACTACAGTACTGGTACTACTATAGCCCGACCAGGCTGTGCGACGGATTGTCTATACAATCCTAACCCTAGCGATACCGTTTCTTGGAGCTAGTACTACTACTACTACAAATTATTGCCATCATCATTATCACCATCGCTATGATCACCATAAAATAACTCAACGCACTAAATATTCATGATTCAATATTATGAGATTATTGGCGGTTAACAGTGACAGTTATAACAGTGATAGTTGGTTATAATGATTGAATTTCGCGTCTCTCAATGAAACTTTTGGATGTCATTATGCTGAGTTCCTAACTCCCATCAGGCTCTCACATTATTGGAAATGACTCATGAAGTCACGTGATGGTCGCAGCGCGATAGCAGCCGTTAGTTGGCGCGGTCGAATGCAATGCGGATGTAGGTTGTGCCATAAATATACTATACCTATGAAAGTACGATCTCAGTCGCTATCTTACATGTGAATACTGTGTTCGTGGATTTCAACTGCGTTCCGGTGTGACTTAAAACGTGATCAATAGTTTATTCAACTAGTGGCACGTCTGCAAACGTCAACCGGCATAGCCGAAATTCTTCAAAATGGCCGATCGGCGTGAAAGCACATCTAATATGGCCGAGCTCCAATATCTCGTAGTTGACAAACAAGTGATAAATGATCCGGCGGCACAGGCAGAATGGACAGCAAAACGTTTGGTGTGGGTTCCCCACGAGACTCATGGTTTCGTGGCAGCCAGCATCAAAGCCGAGCGAGGAGAAGAGTTAGAAGTCGAGATCGCCGAAAGTGGCAAACGTTACCTTGTCAACAAGGATGATATCCAGAAAATGAATCCACCGAAATTCTCCAAAGTCGAGGATATGGCTGAGCTAACATGCTTGAATGAAGCATCCGTTTTACATAATCTGAAAGATCGGTATTTCTCCGGTTTAATTTATGTAAGTTAATTAATACATTTTGTCCTAATACTAATAGTAATACTAATAGTAATACTAATACTCAGTAATACTAATACTAATAGTAATACTAATACTAATAGTAATAGTAATAGTAATACTATAGTCTATAGTAATACTAATAGTAATAAGTAATAGGATTAGTATAGTAGTAATGATTGATGATGATGTCAGTAATGACGTAATGTCACCAAGTACTGGAGTTCAAGTAGTATGCTTGAGTGGTTATTTCAATTACATCTTAGTTCTATTACATGAATTTTTCTGTTGTAAGAATACTAACATCTTTACATCATTAGTATTACTATTAGTATTACTAGTTGAGCAATGGTGGTTGTGATGTTGGTTTGTGTTTGTTCGTGCCCTAAGTTTCAGTGGAGACACTGAGACAGGTCAGCAGTGCAGTTGCCCTGTCATAATCGGGTAGTCTGTTAGATCCTGCACGCAACCTACTTCATAAACTACGCCACTTGTTAATCTGTGACAAAGCTAATTTCTTGCAGAAGTGGCAGGACTTTAAAAGAGTAAAATAGTAGGGTAAAAAAATAGATCAACTCGGCATTTTTAACCAATAACTTCACACCCGTGCACAAATTGCAGCGAATTTTCCGCCATCATACCGCCACATCTGATCTATGCTGTTCGCCACAAGAAACAATGGCTAAAATCTCTAATTTGTGCATATAGGTGTGAAGTTAGTGCAGGGTTCAACTTCTCCAAGGGCACATATAGCCTGGCGGCCCGCCAGGCTATCGTCGAGCCCCGCCATCCTAAAATGCACCCGCCACGCTAAATATCATAGCCGCCATGCTGGTGCATACACAAGAAGTTCACACAATTAATCCACGTTGGTCTCAATGCTACAGGTACGGGAGTCCCACACACATGTACAAACAGTCACCCTATCCCTAACACTAACTCTAAACCGACTCGGCTATCTTATATATATACGTGTGTTATAGTACCAAAATTAATCTATGGTGTATGACCTTTTGCTTTAAATATTTTGCATCTGAACTGACAATCAATCCCAACCAACTGGTGTAGGCTAGCTGGCACAATAATGCTCATTTTCATACTTCAAATCAGAGTGTTTTCTAGCTCATCAAAAAATCTTAATCGTGAATTAAATCGTGAATTAATTTCCAACGGCATTATTACGGGGCAGGTAACCCAGTCTAACACGAGGTAGAGTAGACTGGTACACTTGCCGACCACTCCTTCCATTGTCAATGGTGACAATTTTTTTATATTTGTTTATGAGAGGTGAACTCGATTTGGAACCAGCAAATCAGCAAGTTCACCCCTACATTTTGGTATTTTTATTCCATTAATTATTTTGAATTTTCCGGTGGCTTTGCCCATGCAAAACAAACATTTTCACCCCACATGCAGTGCTTCAAATTTACACACAGTGTCCCAGATTGCATCTCAGAGCTTCTACAATTCAAAAATTTGAAACCCCCCGGACCCCCCTAGCAGTGAGTAGCACCCCCATGCTATAATTTAAAAGCGTGGAGAACCCTGTAGTGCATAAAACATAGTAAGTTAATACATTTTTACACAACTATGTGACTCACAGGGTTCTCCCTACGTTGCGCAAACGGGGCGCGCGCGCCCCGTTTGGGAAAACACCCCCTGTTTCAATCGTTGCGCCCCGTTTAAATTTACCTCCGCCCCGATTAAATTCCACCACAATAAAAGTTTGACAGCACGGGAATCGATCGTCAAGAATTCCCATTCGACCAGGACCACCGGCGCGTGTATTTTTACGCATGCACTGCAGACCATACACAAGTACAAACAGTTAACCTGTCCCGAACCCAACACTAACTGTACACAGACTCGGCTATCTTATATATATATACAAGAACCCCAAATACCGTCTATGGTGTGGTGGCGATTTTACGCATTAATTAGTGGTACGGTAAAAAAACACGCTCCCCGGTCCCCCCTAGTTTTCCCTCCCTTCCCCTCCCCCTCCCCTCCCCCCTGTTTCAATTTCATCCTGGGGAGAACCCTGACTCACTCTACAATAAAACCATTTCCATTTCTGTAGGAAATATGGTATCTAGGTGGAATGTGGAGGTTGCATATTTTCTTAGGTAGGCATTCTGTATGATATAACAAGCAAGCGACTGCTGTTTTTCAGACGTATTCAGGATTATTTTGCGTCGTAGTAAACCCATACAAGAGGTTGCCTATCTACACCGAAAAAGTAATCGAGCTGTATAAGGGCAGAAAACGTCACGAAGTGCCCCCACACGTGTACGCAATCACGGATAATGCGTACAGAAGCATGCTTCAAGGTAAGACCATGTCAACGTCTGTATAAAGAATTAGAACGCAATGCATGTATTACACCAAGAATGGTTGCATGCTCATTTTCATCTTTGTGTTAGCATAGAGGCAAATGACTAAGATCAACAAGATTCTAACTTGCTCTGACCAAGGTCTGATGTGTGGTAGGGGATGTAAGGAGCAGCTCAGGAAGTGTTCATGTCCTGCACCAAGACTGTCACTGTGTGTGTTCTCTAATCTAGATTCTGCTAGCCCATGTTTGCATGGCTAGCAGATTTTAGATGATGAAAAGCTAATCAGCGATAATCTTAGCACCGTACTAGTTATTGGCGAGCAATGGTTGATGAACGCTTTCTCGACGGAAACTGCTGGGGTGTGCTTTTCCCTGTTGCATCATCAGCAGCTATATCTACGCATGCGTGAGGGCCAGCCTGACACAAGCTGCATTGAGTTTCGTGCAGTGAAGAGCGTGATCGGCTGCTGAGGAATCTTCTTGCATTGGAGAGCCATACGGGAGTGACAGGTTTACTCCCGTGGAAATTGATGGTGGTGCTCGTGCTGGGTACAGCACCCGAACATCAACCGGCCGCCGGGGGGGGGGGAGAACTGGGGTGAGAAGCTGGCTCTTGCACCATCTTTGGCGAACACTACTTTGCATTCTGGGATGTTAGACAAGTGTCAGGGTCATTGCAGCAAATCTCTGCTTGAGTGAAGTGCACAAATGCACGGCATGGGCAGCAGCTTTGCAACAGTGTGTGTGGGGGGGGGGAGCGATAGCTGATCTGCTTGCTGGATCGCGTCTCACTATATACTGTACTAGATGATGTTGTACAGTGTTCCTTATGCGGGAGCATAAAGAAGCATTAGGAGCTGATGTCCATATCTGGAACGCACGATCATGTGCCTCGCATAATGTTTGCATTGTTTAGTGCATGGTGGAAGGTTCACTGTTCTCCTTCCACCAGCAGTCTCCACCTACTCTGGTTCAGTACCTCTTAAGTTACTGCCACACTGGCATTGTATAGTAACACCTCCCGATCAGTCACAGAACAGAGGCGAGCATAATCCATGTTTGTCCTGTCTTACAACATAAGCTATGAATTCAAGAACACTTGGCCTGACTAGGTTACTGCACTGCCAAAATGCTGCAATACGTACGTGGGCCTAACGCTCCTCTCTGGATACAACTGTGAGTACAATACTCTCAGAATACCTATGTGCATCTGTGCACATTTCTTCTAAAGGCAGTGCACCAGTTCTACTGCAGGCTATTTGTCAGCAGACTGGTGACTGGATTCACCTCGGTGACTCGATGTTCAGTTGTAAGAGTCCTATATATTAGCAACGCTATTTACTACATGGGAAGAGTGGGGTGGTGGTGCATTGTGGTGCCATCTCTGCCAGATATATGTAGGCCGACAGATCGCAGAGGTAAAGATCTGGCGGGTCACTGGGCTCAGTTCTCTCAGTTCAGGAATGCGTGTCGTTAGTGCCTATAGTAGTAGCCTGAAAGAAAGTTGGTCACATAGCCGTGCAGTGCACATTCTAGAAAGGCTCCCGTGTAGCTGCATTTTTTCGCGTGACGAAAGCCAGTCGTGCTTTCTCTCCCTGCTGAAATCTCCTGTCCATTGTTAAGAGTAAAGGTCCCTAGTTGAATACAGTAGTAGCCTGGCAGTAATAGTATAACAGCGAGATAACTTGACTAGCATATATATACCCTTGAATTGCATGTCCAACATGTACTTCGCGATATGACAGTGCCCTGGTTGAATGTAATCTTTTCCTGCTTATCAGTACCAGCAGTGCTTGGCACTGCTTGCAGTTGGGAAGTCAACCCGAGTATTTATCTATCCAATGTAGTTGGAGTGGGGGGCAGAACTTTATTATCTGTGCTCTCTCTGCCACCACATATATTGGCAACATCCGGGTCACTATTCTACGTGCAAAAGGCACAATAGCTGTAATTGTAGATCGTATACATGTCTAAACAATGCCTATGGACAGGACCTAGAATGATTATGGTACGCATGGGGTGGGGTTATTTGGCAACCAGTGATCAATCCATATGTGAGCTGGAAGGTGTTGCTGCTGTTGCATAATTACATTTGCATGCTTACATGGAAGTCTTGTGTCATGAGTAATGAACTCGTTAATGCCGAGTTAATATTGCATGGACTCAGTTTATAACATGGACTGTCGGCAGGACAGTAGGTTTTAACTTTACTAATACGTAATATTAGTAATAACTACCTCGTTGGAATAGTCACTGGCCAACTTTCGCTAGTCGGCAGCAGGATATTTCACGGGACCACAACATCCTATTCGTTATGGTTGGAATGCAGCTCATACACTCAACATGCATCATGCCTCCTTGATTTAATCTTGCGCGTAATAGAAGACTACATAAAGCAGACTAGACTCACTGTAGCTATCGCCACTCGCATACCTTCCACGAGCAATTGAGGATGGTCTTGCAATTGCTAGCCAATAATTCTTAACTGAGCCATGGCACTATTGTGGGAAAGTAAAGGCTGCCTGGCCATAGCTGTACTAAATGTGTGCAGCTAATTTTGCATTTCTATGTAACCTATCGCCTGAGCATTATCACTAGAGCCATGGTATGTTTTGTATGTTAGTAGTTAGCTCGAAGCTAGCCAACCTATGTTTCAGTTAAGCTCTGGATAGCTAGCCACCAACATCTGATCTTTTAGGTAAATTACCTACTAGTAATTAGGGCAATTACTAATTGGCAGGTTTCGCCTGTAGAATAATAAATGTGTGGACAGGGTCGCCAGGCCACCGTATTTGTTTATAACTTTCACCATTTTGTCTCTCACTCTCAGCTGTAGAACTTTCATATAAGTTCTCGGTGATCAGCCGTGCAGCATCGGTGATCCTCCTTCCCTCCATCGTGGCGAGGCGGGGAGAGTGAATCATGTATGATGAAATTGTACGAGTGCATGTGGGAGCGGTCAAGCCTGAATACACTCACACATGAGCCATCTAAATGGCTCATGCCTACAGGGTTCTGGCCAGGATTTTTTAGTGCCGGGCGCATCCAGTTGCAAGCGCCGTAGGCGCGAAGCGAATCTAGGGGGTCCGGGGCCATCCCCCCCCCCCGGGAAATTTTTGATTTTGGATAGTCTGAAACTCAATTTCCTGCATTCTGAGCAATAAAAAGCCCATATTTATCAGACTTTTTTTTTTAATTAAAAATTAGTGCCGGGTGGAGATAACTGACTCGTTTATAGTGCCAGGCAGCAACCGCGAGTGCTGGGCACACCCGCCCACCGCCGCCCACCGTTGGCAGAACCCTGTGCCTATGGTAGTCTAGAGAATCATTGATCACCATAAATCTATTTCACTGCCCCACCGTTATTTTGGCAGCGAACGATTGTGATCATGTGATGACTGATGTCAGTGGACAGCGAGACAGTATGACTCACTCGCGGCGGGCTGCCGGGAGAAGAAATAGAGGGCGCGCCTGTTGCTATTGGGTGAGGCCGTCGGAAGTCATGTCCACGGAGGCTAGCCGTTACACGTGCGTCGTGCTGACGTGGAGCCGGCTGCTACTGCTACTGCTAGACAGCTGCTGCTGCCGCTATTCGCTGCTGCTGCTGCTGCTGCTGTTACTCATTTATGCACCGAGCAGTACGCAGCGGTCGGCACGAGTGCGATGAATGGGTTGGGATGTGAGTCCCTACTGACACTGCTAGGTCACTTGGCGCGTTCCTACTAGATATATTCCGGCCGAGAGGCAACACTGTAGGCGTGGGTGTTTCGCGCCGGGTGGTTAGTAAGTACTGCGTTTTCCGTGCATGGCATTTTTGAGCGGGGTGGGGTAGAAGTTATTCTGTACTGTGTGCTTAATACAACGTCAATTCAGTGGTGTTTTGAGGTCTTCTCTGCTGGTTGGTTTAATGCACTGCCCTGTAGTCCGCGATTCTGGGGGTTCTCTGTGCTGGAATGACCAGCTTTCATGCGTCTCTGCGCGTGCTGCCATACAGTTCCAGCCACTGTCCATGCTGGCACCTTCTGACGCAGGCTGTCGTTTCACTGCTGAGCATCCTCGCGGCACGTTGAAGGGTAGTCCCGGTGACTAGAATGTCACACAGCCGTGCCGCCAGGGTCCCGTCGCTCGCGCGCGAAATCGCAGCTCGGTTGTCGTTGACCAGCGGCGAACAAACTGGTTTCCCAGTCCCTACATCTCTCTCCCCTCTCACTCGCCCCTCTAACTCTCCTGCGCTTTCTGTCCCGCTCTCTATCTCTTCCCCCTCTTACCTCCCTCCCCTCTCTCTCTCTCTCTCGCTCGCGCGCGCACATGTATGCGCATATGTACCGGCTGCAATTACCTACAGATAGCCCTTAGTTAAAAAGCGTAGAAAATTCGCCGCACGCCGACTTGAGTAGGTACAAGAGAGTGCATATCTGCACGAGGAGAAGATTGCAGGGAGCTCCGTGCTAGCTTGGAGAGCGTAGGTTTACGACGTCACGTGCCTTCAGTGACCTGTGCTGCGTGCCTGCGCAGTTAGCTTTAGCGCTCGCGATCTGGAGCAGCGGCTGACTCGACACGGGTCTCCGCCTATGGCATTGTCTCGGAAGATCTAACCTGTTCCGCCGTCCGACAACGAGTTCATTCTACTTCCCCGTGCGAAGACGTCTTCGCGCGGGCTGTAAATATCGGCCGATAGGCGATGCACGACCGAGTTACACGCGAGCATACACTACACCCGCTGTGGGAGCCGCGGCTGGATTTTGCGTTGGCGGCGCGAGCATTGTGTGCTCGCGACCTGCGTGTGGTGTGCTGCCGTTACGGTTTTGCGTGCGTTAACGTTACGTCTCTCGGATGTTGGGTACCGGGGGGGGGGCGAATAATTGTGTTACCTGTCTGTTAACGTCACGTTGCGTCAACGTAAAGCCGCTCAGGTAGTAAAAAAAATCGCGTTACCGTACCTGTACTCACGCAGCGCGGCGCGTTTTTTTTGCGTGCGTGCGTTTCTGCCCGCTC